TCAAGCATCCCTAAGGAGATCAAGTTTCTCCTTAATGTGGGAACAAATCTAACTTCCTTTAGAATTTTACAGCTCTCATCACTCATCTTGAACATAACAGACCCCACACCTTTTATCTCACACACTTGGCCATTCCCCATTAAGACTTTGCCACCCCTTTGAGACTCCAGCCCACTAAGCCACTCTTTTTTGGGTGTCATATGGTATGTACACCCAGAATCCATCACCCATTCAGCTTCAAAGGTTTTATCAGACATAACCAGTGCTTCAACAATGTCAAACTCAGTGAGTACATTTGCATACTCAGCTTTTCCTTGCTGTTTGGGGACACTCCTTGGGTTTTCAGGGCAATTCCTATTCAGGTGGCCCTCTTTATGACAGTGCCAACACACAAGCTTAGCTTGTGGTTGACCTTTACTCTTATCTTGGTTTCCCTAGACACTTTGATTACCTTGGGGAACAGTGTTATTGTTCCCCTTCCTTTTATTGTTTGACTTTCCTTTTCCCTTAACATAGAGGCCTTCAGCAGTGGGCTTTTTATGAGAAATTATTTCAACTTCTCTAGCCCTTAAGGCCTCAGTAATTTCATCAAGATTCATATCCCCTTTACTGTATTTTATGACATCTTTAACCCCTCTGTAGGAGTCAGGAAGAGAATTCAAGAGGATCAATATTTGATCCTCATCAGAGACAACAGCCCCTGCATTCTCCAGTTGTAGAGTTAACCTATTAAACTCATCTAAGTTATCCTCTAGACACTTACTAGGATCCATCTTGAAAGAAAAAAATCTTTCTTTCAAGAACATTTTGTTGGGGGTTGACTTTGTTTGATACAGACTCTCTAACTTCACCCAGAGCTCATGAGGGTCAGTGATCTTGCTAACCCTACGCAGTACACTATCATAGATATTAACAACTATAAGGCTATGGGCTAAAGATAGCAGGTCTTTCCTTTCTTTTGGTGTCAAGGTTTCAGGCAGGTCCTTTTCAACTTCAATTGCATCCTCGCATTTTTGCTGGACCAAAACAACTTTCATTTTAATTTTCCACATATTGAAATCACTTCTCCCATCAAATTTCTCCACCTCCAGCTTAGTGATGCCCATCTTGCCGAACCTCCGCAGTCAAGCAAGCAAATCGAATGGTAGATGGGGGAAAGATAAGACAGACAAAAGAAAAGAACAGAAAGGGAAATGGAACCTAAGCTCCTGATACCACTTGTTGTAATTTTGGGAATACTTTTCACAAACAATAGAAGACAGAACAGTCCAAGAAAGAATAAAGAAAGCATAAAGAGACAGAACACCAGTATTTACAGGTTCAAAAACTCAGTGTTAGTGAGTTTCCTACGTCCTGGGGCCTAAAGAGGGTTAAACGCCCTCTGATATCACACTTTATTCAGAAGATCAAAATCACAAGTATAGAGTTATGGCATACAGATACATCAATATGAAATTAAACATGTGGAGAAACTATTAAAGCAATAAATCAACAAGAACCAGAAAGAACATAAACTCAGAGCTCAAGAAATGGAGCATATATCACCAATCTTTACAAGACCGTATAGGAAACGTTGTTCCTATCACTGGACCTGCAAGCTAACCACCACAAGCTTCACCGGTCCTCCTTACAGATTCGTCACTCCACCGTTTGAACACCAACCGAGAATATTCATCGATCAAAAGAATCACCTTGTTGAGATGAACAAGGTTCTCCACAGTAGCTAACAGAGATATTCACTCTAGAAGTCAGATTTTACCAAAATCTCTCCCTCTCACAAACCCTAATCGAAGGAACCTTCAAGAAGATATCAGAGAAGAAAATAGCAAAATATCTTGTATCTGAAAGAAATGCCACACACACACACCAGCTTGGTCACCAAAGGTTATTAAACCTTCACCTTGATAAAACGACACTGTTTCAATTAGATGCTTAACACACAATGGTAACAGCAGCTGATGTAGCAAGTAACGGGCTAAGAAACAAAGGGGCCTTAGACAAATAATAATAGACATCAGCCCATTAAGAGAAAGAGGATAATAAAAGCCCAATGTTTAATAGAAATACATACAACAGTAGGTGATAGATAAACGCCTTCAATAAGTCTCTCAAATCAAATCCAACAAAATAAGAATTTGATATTGTTATGGTCCAATTAAATGGTCCTTACATTTATCCCCACCACGTGAAGCACCTCATTCCCCACCCATATGCATCACAAGACAATATTAAGTTATTGAGAAAAACCATCCATTATGTGCCCAACTTCTTCAATTGCTAGTGCACTTTATCTATATGTAGCTCCCTATAGCAAAGGTTCAAACAAATTCTTCAGCACCATTACTACATATTGATGTTCACTTCTGAACATCTAGCGCTGTCTGTAGGGATCAATAAATTTCGATTCCCGCCTGCTACCATATGAGCATAAAGAAGGCAGTGTTATCCACTTCAATGACGAACAACAACGCCGGTCCACTAAACCATTGCAGAAGCCAAACGACTTTATGGAAGGAGAAACACTGATTATTAATGAAGTCAAATATAACAGATACCTTAATCTTCTTTCACAATCAATTCATCTATCTATGTTTTGCTCTAATTTTTCTTCATAATTAACGCGGTTGAAATGGAAAGGAATACATCAAGTACTGAAAAGGTAAGCAGCATTCCTACGGATGGCATTGGTAGCCGACGTTTTGCATATTATTCAATAGCATTACACACTACGTTCATCCACTCATTATTGTATTTAAATCCTAAAAAAAAAAAAAAAATAACAAAATATTTTACTTCTCATACTATTCTTGCTTTGAACTACCCGGTGGTTTGAATTCGGCTGCTGTAGCAGCAGTGATATCGTCCCAGGATGACGCTTAGTTTCTTTTGTTTTTTATCTTCTTATTATTATTTTCCATTAAATCAAGCAACCAAGGTTTTTCTTTCTCATCAGCAAATATTGCTGCTGTAACTACAAGTAATTATCAGAAAATTTTAAAATTCAGCTACCAAGTAGTAGCAAAATATAAAAACCGGAAGAATTTATCTGCATCTGACTCCATTATTTGTCCGCTCTTCTTCACCTCTATTCACTATTCACACGTTCTCCAAGTTATAACCATTAGACCCTTTTCTCAGATCTATAGTTACCCCCCAATATTGCAAGTACGAATGATGTGAATAACTTCAATAACTATTAGTATATGTGAAAACTTGTCTCTGTGTGATTCGACATGACTTCAACCCAAACAATACACAAGTTAACAGATAATTTTTTTTGAGTTTTTTTTCTCAGTCACTTGTTGGCATGCTCTATGGTCTAACAAACACGAAACTGCATACAAAATCGCTAGAAGAGCAATGAAAGGAAATTTTCATGCTGATGAGTGCAAAGCCACATCCGGAGCGCATTTTTTATGCACCCGATGCAGGTGCTTCTCCCATTGGCGGGGTGACATGTGAAAAAATAAATAAATTTTCTCTCTTTTCTGTATATATATCAGAGAAAATACTTAATTTTAATAGGTCTGGATCACTGAACAAGTGATGTGCCGGAAACACATTAAATATCCCATATCGGTAAGCGAAAAACATTGAAAGCCTTTATATATGAAAACCGAATTAACAACTCAATCAGGATCATGAGATGAGGTGAATGGGCCCATGCGTTATGCTGGGCTCTGGAAAGTCCCCGGGCCCTAACTGCAGAGATGCAGGCTCGGTAGCGGGTGCACTTTGGACTGGGATTTGACTCTTACTTCGGTATGAGGGGCTGAGACACGTGTGGAGCCTTTACAAAATAGCCCAGCCAAAGAAATTGGCCGATTATACAGTCATTCACAAGGTCTTCGCGACTAACAGAACGGGGCTTACATCTCATGACCCACTTTTTTTAAATTGAAAAAAATATTGTAATTTTATTACGGATTATATTTATAAATTTTTTCACAAATTATAATTTATTGATAGTTAATATCCTCACTCTTTTTAAATCCAAAAAATTATTGTAACTTTATTACAGATTATATTTAGAAATTTTTTCACATATAAATTCTTATAAATAAATCTTAGTCGTTGATTAATTTATTGAGAATTAATATCCTTCCTCTACAATTAAAGTCAAATAAAAATTATACTATTATATACAAAAATGGGAAAATTATTTTTGTTTTTATTGTAGAAATATTTGGCCCAGCACACTCACTTAAAAATAAGTAGGTTCCATTTTATTTATTTATTCTCTTCTATACAAAAATATAATACATAAATAAATAAATATTCGAACAATAGGTACTTAATTAGTGAATTCTGACCCAATGGGTGCAGCTCAGTTGGTAACTTGGCGCTGAGTTAGTGGGGTTGGACATGTGTTCGATTCCTGCTGAATGCATTCTTGGGGAGGGTGCTGAACCTTTAGCCATCACTGCTCCTCCGCACTCCGGATTAGTCTCATAGCCGGCTCAAAGAGTCGAAGCTCGTGGGGATACCGGAGGGAGCCAACTCGCCTCAAAGAGGTAATTAGGGTTGGGTAACTCCAAAAAAAAAAAATTAGTGAATTCTGGTGCAGTAAATATAGGTACGTCCTGCTAAAAAAAAAAAATTTGGAACGTAGATAAAAATATAAATTAAATGCTTGGATTTAAAGGAGAGAGAAAATTTCACTTTAAGAAAAAAAAAATAGGGTTTAATATTTGTCATTTTAAATGACGTAAGTTATGTCATTTTAGAAGAGAGATAGACACAAAGAATAAAAAATATGAGGGAGAAAGTAAGTGATTTTTTTTAATTTAAATTTTAAATAAAAAATTATTTTTTATCTATCTATTTCTTAAAATGATATAACTTTAGGTCATTTAAAAATTACAAATACTTTTCAAAAAAAGAAATATACACAAATGGGCGCGTAAGAAATTTTCCTAGTTTGGGCCGTGGGAGAAACGCGGATAGAGAAAGCGGTAACGATGGTTCCTTGTAGGAGCCCAATGATTTTTTTTTGACAATAAGAGAACAAATCACACAGTACAATCGAAACGACCGAAGTCGGAAAACTCTAATTAATTCCCATTCTCTCTCTCTTTCTCTTTGTGTCCGAAATTCCGAAATTCCGAAATTTTGAAACCCTAACTGGTAACCATCATGGGGAACACGGAGAAGCTGTTGAACCAGATCATGGAATTGAAATTCACGTCGAAGTCGCTGCAGCGGCAATCGAGGAAATGCGAGAAGGAAGAGAAATCGGAGAAGCTGAAGGTGAAGAAAGCCATCGAGAAAGGGAACATGGACGGCGCCCGAATCTACGCGGAGAACGCGATCCGGAAGCGGACGGAGCAGATGAACTACCTCCGGCTGGCCTCACGACTTGACGCGGTGGTGGCTCGGCTTGACACGCAGGCGAAGATGACCACAATCAACAAGTCCATGGGGAACATCGTCAAATCCCTAGAATCTTCCCTTGCAACCGGAAACCTCCAGAAGATGTCGGAGACCATGGATCAGTTCGAGAAGCAGTTCGTGAACATGGAGGTCCAGGCTGAGTTCATGGAAAGCGCCATGGCCGGATCCACCTCGCTTTCTACTCCCGAAGGTGAGGTTAACAGCTTGATGCAGCAGGTCGCCGACGATTATGGCCTCGAGGTCTCGGTTGGTCTCCCTCAGCCTGCTGCACATGCCGTCCCTGTGAAGGAAACCGAGAAGGTCGACGAGGATGACTTGTCCAGGCGCCTTGCCGACCTCAAGGCCAGAGGTTAATTCATATTCATTAAGATGATCTCGTCATTATACAATTACTATGTTATAATCACAGTTGTTGAGGAGTGGTTTGTGTATATTGAACTGAATTTGGTTGGCTCTATGAGATACTTTATGTAGACTTTGCTTGTTTTGTTCATATTTGTTTGGTTGTTTGTTTGTTTCTTATTAGCCTTCACTGCCTGGGATCTCGTGAATGCTGCTAAGTAGAATAGAATATAATAGAATGTTTATATTTGTCTATTGCTTATTCTTAATGAATTGGAATTTACATCCTTGGGTATATTAGAGGTCTTAATTTTATTCTTGTTGGTGAATGGGGAAAGCTAGCAGTTACTTTGAATTTGCTAGAGCCTTGTACATTTTTGCTAATTTTAGAACTGACTAGTTCCGCGGATGTTGATGGAAAACTCCTGTTAAGTCTTGACAGACAGAGTTCAGATTGAATGCAAATTAGGTAGAGGCTTCCGTAGGGGCATTTGTTTATGAAAACTTTGTTAGATAAATGTTTTTACTTAGAAAATACAATGGTAAGGTAACATACAGTTGACCCATACCTCTACCTTGCAAAATCGGGGAGTCTTTCTATGCGGGGGTTTTCCCTTTAATGTTTTTACATAGAAATTGATTTCATTTCTTACTCTGTGGTTAGTTAAGCTCAAAATTTTTGGTTGGATTGTAAATAAGCTCAAAACAGGATGTGTGAGCCATCATATTCATAATTGTATCTGTACATCTCAAAGAATGGATCTGTTGAAAATGAAAATGTTTTTCTTTGTTCTATCAATGCAATTATTGTCATTGTTTTTCAAGGTTTCTTTTCAGTTTTTTGGATGATGTTTGAGTTCTTATTATGCAAATCTTTATGTGCTGTAAAGAATGTAACAACATGAAGTTATCCTATGTGGACTTCATAAATGTCTCGGTTTAGATTGATCCAAATTCATGTAAACAATATATTGAATTGCGTTATTGATGTATGTTGATGCATGTTAGGAGTGCCACATTGATGACTTCTTATACTGCATATTTATACACCATAATATTACATCTGAAATATTTTCATCAGGGAAACTTCTTGACTCCTGTCAAGCATGATCTGAAAGATTGTTATTTTCATTACGTGATTAAGGATTCTGGTTCTCATCCATTGGATCTTGTATGAATTATGTGCTTTGTGGGTTGATGTTAATGTTCAGTTATCTAGTTTTAATGCTGTGAAAATGTAGTTTGAAACATAAGGTTGAGTTTGTCATGTTTTAATGTTGAAATTTTGGGATTATCTGGGCATTCCATGCTTATAATTGAATGATCTTATTTTGCAACTGAAGACGATGATGTTCGACTTCTTTACTATACTGGGAAAACATAATTTCAAATATCAAAATGAGAAAATAAATCTTATAGATGTATATCCTTTAACGAGTTAGGATGTTCGACTTCTTTACTATACTGGGAAAACATAATTTCAAATATCAAAATGAGAAAATAAATCTTATAGATGTATATCCTTTAACGAGTTAGGATGTATTTTAAATTAAATTAATGATAGATATGTCTTTACTAATTTTACAGACAAATTTACTCTAAAATGATATTGTAATTAAGAAATATGCAATACTGAACTTATAATTCATTTTTTATGTTATACCAGCAATGAATTCGTATAATACCCAACAGTGTGTTTGGTATTTTCCAACAAATAAACCTTCTGTTTAACATCGTATAGTCAACCCTTTCTTTCTTACTTAACGCGCGAAGCAGATTGGTTGGACCATAAGTGTACGAAATATAACGTTAGACAGATGAAATGCAATAGCATTCAAATATCAATCAATCGCTTTGCCCTTAAACCCAAACTCGACTCACATGGATCGATAACTTATTTGGGTATTGTAGCGTAATCTCGAAAACATAGGGATTCGCTTTGTTAAAAGGTAATTTACACGGGTAACGATCCTCCAAATTCCCCACATTAGAGTCGGGTAGCTTAATGGAAGTTAAGATCCAAAACCAAGGGTTGCATTTTATGAAAGGGTAAAGCAAAAAGAAAAAAAAATTAAGCTCACCTCAGCATTTTTATTGCCTCCACCTCCTCAATATTTTTCTGCTTTGAAAGGCTGAACGTGTTTATCATAAACCACAAGAATTGATTCTATACATAGATTATACACGAGTTTAATTTATCTAACCCCCGTAAAAGTCCCATCGTCCCAGCTACTCCCACCATTGCTTCCCACTGTGAAACTCTCCTGCTCCATTTTTCATCCCATTTTTTTTCTTGGATTACTTTTTATGAGACTTTCTAGTTTGTACTTTCTTTTTTTGGATTAATATTTTTTATGTTGTAGAAGTTAATTTTATTTTTTACATATATAAAAATGTGGGAAACCCATGTAAGGTAGAAAATATGTCTCCTACAACATAAAAAAATATTAATTTCTTCTTTTTAAGTCTGAAATAATCCACTAGTTATTTCAAGACAAGTTGCTGGATGATGGAGTCATTCCCACCTCGATTAACGAATATTGTTTTGACGGTGATATCTTTGCTAAGTTTATTTGTCATGTGACCCCACGCTAGTGCAAGTGGAGTTTTCTAGGTTTTACCAGCATGAAAGTTTGGCACTTAGAATAATAATTTTGGTTAAAGATGCTTAAAGAACAACTGATAGGAAAGAAAAATAAGACATAAAGCGAAATGGAATCTTTTAATTTAATTTCATTCCATTTCCTACCATTTTATCACTTGCCATCCGTCCAAGCAAGGTTTAAATAGAGATAAGAGTGGAAGAAGCAATACAAATTGATTTGCTGTTACATCGTGATTATTGTGCTTGAAGTTAGAAGTATATTTTATTCTACCTTTTTCTTTTTTATATTTATTTTGTCTACCAATCTTCAATAACATTAGATCAAAATTTAAGAGGAGAAAGAAATAATAAAAGTTAGTTAAGATTCTGATCTAATGATGTTAGAAATTAATAGATAAAATAGGAATAAAAAAGGTAAGCACAATAACATATTTCATAAAATAAACTGTTGGGCTAATGTGCAGTATCCTATTCCACTTTAAGCATGACAACTCACTAGGAGTGATTGTAATTTCTCTCTCGATAGAGCACAACAAGCATTTAAATTAAGCACTTGAGTGGGCATACCAGATTAGCTTTCTGAAAGGAAAGCAAAAGCCTTGGCTAGGATTCTATATAGTCTAAAGAAAACCGCAGGAAATGCAGTTCTTCATTCAATGGTTGACATTAATTATAATTATTTTACCATAAAAGAAAAGAATTTTTATGGTCTGCAGTTTTAAGAATCCAATTCCAGAAGCTCTCTTATGTTTTGATTATTGTGGCATCTAACAAAGTCATTAAGGGCCATTGGTTTGTGTTTTTTTTAATTAAATTTTTTATGATAATTAAATAATTTTAAAAAAAATTAAAAAATATATTTTAATGCTTTTACCATAAACTATGAGGAGTAGTTTTTATAAAATAAAAACTCCTTATAAATGCTATACGACAAAAATATTTTTCATAAAAGTTTATTGAAAGCACCCTAAAACAAACTAAAGTCATTAGGCTAAGCTACTAGTTTACCAAAAAAAAAGAGAGTCATTAAGCTACTCGAGGAAGTAATTTTATATTTATGCTCGGAACATTGGGATCTAATAAAGCACAAATAATTTTTATTTATTTTTTTAGAAAATGCTCGAACTTATAAACATATATTTATTAAGAGAAATGTTATCCTTACAACTTTTTTTTTTTACAACATCTTACAACCATATCTTAACACCGTTGATTTCCGTCAATCAACGGTCATCATTTATTGTGGATTAATAATTAATTAATGAGTTTAATTTGCAAAAAATCATAACCGTTGATTGGCGGAAATCAACAGTGTTAAGATATGGTTGTAAGAGGTTGTATAAAAAAAGGTTGTAAGTATAACCTACCTCATTTATTAATAAGATTTATAAGAAACAAATATTTTTTTTAAGAAAATGCTCGTATTTATCAATGAGACAATATAACAACTTTTCCTAAGTTTCATACTCGTACCAAAATTTCAACACAATGTTTGGTAGATCTTCCCCCACACATTTTATACATGTTTTTCTCTTGGTTATACGAGACCAAATTTTATTTATCTTTCCCCAAGCGTATATATATTTGTATATGTTATGTCATAGGATCATGCGCAGAGGAAACAGGGAAGTTCAAAACTTCGCAATGAATTGTGCCAGAGGATCATGGGATTTAGCTTATAATAGAGGATGAGTGACTAAATGTTCTTTATCATCATCATATCTTAGCACATTTGGGCAGGCAAAAAAATTAATTTATTACTTTTTTAATAAAAAATTACGAATAAGTAGTCGTTTTGCAAAATATTACGAATCTATAGCACCCAAACACGTCCACATGGGACGTGTTCTGATGGAGAGAGACACGCCCATGTAGGGCGTGAGCTGGACAAGCCCAATGTAGGGCGAGAGTGGCAGGAAAGAGACACGCCTCTCATGGGGCGTGAGCTGATGGTAGACACGCCCAATATAGGGCGTGTTCCACTGGAAGGTCACGCACAATCTGGGCGTGAGTGACTAAACTGCAGTCTATTTAAACACCCACCCCCTACACACTCTTCACAATTCTCTCATTGTTATGCTGAAACTCTCTGATAGTTTGCACTTGTTTGCTCATATTTTGTTTTATCTTTTTAAATTTTGATTTTAAAAATGAGTGCGAATTCTGATACTATTCGTGTTGTTCTATATTTTAACGGTAGGAAAGAAGAAGGTCGTCGTGGTGTTATTTTTGTAGGGGAGAAAAGGCCATCACGTATTAAACGGAACTCAATGGTTGCTGAGCTGCATCAGAAAATACGTCAAAAATTATGTCTTCAAGACAACCAATTGATCACTCTAGTCACGGCAAGATTATGGCAATGTGAACAATACATTAGCTTGCAAGTGGTTGATGACGAAGACATCAATATGGTAATGGAAGAGTTCTTGAACCAATCCAGAAAGGATTTCTTAGATTTGTATGTGGATACTACCACCGTGGAGGAAGTTGTTATACCAATGAGGTCAGTTAGGTCTACTTCTCCTCTTAATGCATCCTCATCTGCTGCACCTGCTGTTAACATGTCTGAGGAAGATGAACATGACCCTACTTGGGTTATGGATGAGGAGTATGACGAAGATGATGAGGAAAATATTGCAA